GGAGTGAAATACCAATGCTGCTTTGTTCTCAGTGTGGTTTTCCCAGTATCTAATGTGACTGAACAATGTTCCTTCAGTGGAACTCACATTTAGGAGGTTACCAGGTTAACTCACAGGGGAACGTTTGGGAAATTAAAGAAAAATACACTATGGTGCATTCCTGATTAAAAAAATACTGTATGTCCCTACAGTTACAGAAATGATTACATATTTCTTTTTTTCCAGTAATGATTTACTATATTTACTAGTTTTCCCTTAAGGCAAATTTATTATATTTACTTTTTCTCCCTCATAATTAATGAACATTTCAATTAGTTATATTTTATAAGAGGAATCAGATATATGAGCTCATCTGAATACTCAAGGGTATAGAATAAACAGCATGGCTTCTAGAAGTGAACATTAAACACAATTTTTCACCAAAGCAAGGGTTTATGTTTAAAATACAGTTCTGGTCTCACAGATGGAAATAAAGTACGAGGGGTTGAATGAAAATATTTCTGCTTCTTGTTATTTATAACATATAGAACTTTGGGGGAAAAGGGACCAAATCTAGCACCCAGCTTCCTTGAAGTATAAATAAATTAAAAAATATGTAATGTATGTGACTGGCATAAAGAACACGGCTAAATAACATGTATATTATAGAGGGGTGGGGAACAATGAACCAGCTTCAGCTCCAAGAGTGTTAGTTCCAGGAATGGATTGAGACTATTAACATACAAATAAATTAATAGGGGAATTCTACTAAAGAACAGTAAAATTTGGTGGCCCCAGGGCATCTTTGGTGTGAAACATCTGATTGAACCTAACATAGGGAGAGAGGAGGCAGGTGATTAGATGGTTGAGAGAAATCAGACAGAATGGCAGAGAGAAACTATAGAATATAGTAAAATGGGAATATCAAATTTAACAATGTCAACTTGGTTCACTATTATTCTACAGAAAAACAGAAAAATTGTAATTAACAGTTAAACAGTGTACTCTCTCATTATTTTCCCCAAATCAAGGCCTTAGATGAATGATCGTGAACTTTTTTTTTATGATTTCATTATGGTTATTTGATAAAATATTATTCCCACCCTTGCAAAATTAGTTATCCCTTGGCCCTTTCATAATGATGTAGTGGCATATGACAGACCAGCTGTGTAGAGAGTTTATGTAATGCTAAATACTGTATAAAAATAGAGGTTAGCCCTAGAACTGGTTTGGCTCAGTGGTTAGAGCATCGGCTCTTGCACTGAAGGGTCTTGGGTTCGATTTCAGTCAAGGACATGTACCTCAGTTGCAGGTTCAATCCCCAGCCCCAATCCCCACCCCAGTTGGGGCATGTGAGGGAGGCAACCAATCGATGTGCCTCTCTCACACTGATGTTTCTCTCTCTCTCTCTCTCTCTCTCTCTCTCTTCCACTTTCTCTAAAAAGCAATGAAAAATGTCCTCAGGCGAGCATTAAAAAAACACAGAGAGGTTATACATTTGCCTTTTGTCTCCAAAAGTATGTTCATAGCAACAGTCTGCACAAATATATTAACTTGGAATTTTAGAAGCTTCTTAGCCCCAAGAGTCTCACTAGGAAATCTGCAAGTTTGTTACTTGCAGTAAATGTATAGACTCGTGCATTATGCATATTCTCCTCTGAAAAGATTATTCAAAAGCTTTCATAGCCAGACATGAATACAGTAGGGAAGGGTGATGACTGTGGTGAAACGGCATTCATGGGTCCTGCCCTACTTCTCTTTGGTCAATCAGTTCTTTCTGAAAGAAAGGCACAAAGTTCCCTGCAACTGTTCAAGACTAAATGAATATTTGTAGGAAACATCCTCATTTTTGAAAAAACTAGCTGAGCAAAACAAAACACTACAGCAATAGGTTTTAAATGGTAAATGCAAGTTTAAAAAGTTTAGTAGGAGGTTAACTGCTCTGTGCAGAAAACAGAGAAGTTTAGTATATGGGGCTTGAATTACCTTTCAGTGCATACATGTTTTTGTTTAAAAATTAAATCAGAGAATGAGCTCCAATATTAATAGTGTTGAAAAATATTGCCCTAAAGAAGCATTTTGTCCCAAACAAGATCGAATTGTCTTGTTTAACCTACATCTCTTGACTCCGTGGGAGATTCTCCAGGATGCTACCAGTTTTCTTCCACACTTAATTTAATAAACCCTAGTGTGGTACTATTGGCCTACTGATAGCCAATTTCTCATCTAACATTCAAGGATAAAGATAGATATATTAGTGGGAAGGTAAATATATATATGTGTATATATATAGATATACACACACACACACACATATGTCATTATTTTAAATGATATGGTTAAAATCAATTTAATCTGAATATCAGTCTAAAAACGATAACTAGAGAAAAGCATTCACACCGATAAACACTTGAACCAAAACAGGGTATTTTTCTCCTACTGTTACATGAGTACTTCCAGCACAGACCAAAGAAAAAGAATGGAATACATTTATTTTAGCAACTTAATTATTTCTCAGTAGAAAGAAATAAAATCAATCCCCTCAATCAGCCATAAGAGCTTATCTTTCAGTGGCCTCATTAAGGCAGTTGGTTATGGAGTTGGGTGCTGGAATCACAGTCTTAGAAAAGGAAAATAAGAGGTTAAAGAGGATTAATTTTATATTAACTTGAAAGACCATGTCACATTCATGGGGAATGAAAAAAAATCATTTTTTTCTTATTACCATTTAGTTAAATATAATATTAAAAGTTTTAGATGCAAATAAATTATAATATCAGAATTTTTCAGGATATGGTAATAAGAAATCTCAAATGTCTTCTATGTGTCAAACAGTTTCCAACACATTTTTGCAACTATAGTGCTAAGGTGTATCTCAAAATAGTTTCTACATAGTTTGTGTTTACATAAGTTTAAATAAATAATCTATTACTCATTTATATAATAACAATTTACAATATAAAAATAACAGAAGCAAATGCAGAAATGTTATTTTGCAATGTCAAACTTCAAATACTTTTAAATACTAATAAGATGCTATTATATTTGATAATTTTTTGCATATTTTACTTCATAATTTTTATATAGCTACATAATACCAGGTGTAGTATTTTGCACAACATATTTTCCACAGAAATATTTTAATGTCATCTCATACCATTTTATTATAAAAAAGAATACCTGCACATGGTAAAGTAAACATTAAAGACTGCTTTGGCTACCAAAAGCCAATATCATACATTATAAGCACTTGAAAGTTTTAATTGTTGATAAAACACCTTACACACATTAACACAGGAACAATATTTATCTCTTAGAACTAATCAGAGAAACTAACTAAAATAACTATATTTATATTAGATTTACATCATCTGATTTTAGACTATATCTCACATTTTATTTTACCTCTGTTAAAAAAATACACTAATTTTGCTGCCTGGATGTAACGCAGCATCGACCTAGGATCCAGGAGGTCACAGTTGGATCCCCGGTCAGGGCACATGCCCGGGTTGGGGCTCGATCCCCAGCAGGGGGCGTGCAGGAGGCAGCCGATCAGTGACTCTCATCATTGATGTTTCTCTCTCTCTCTCCCTCTCCCTTCCTCTCTATGAAATCAATAACAATATATATATTTTTTAAAAATACACTAATTTTCAAGAAGTGTAGGCATTTCCAATATATTAAAAAGAGAAAATGGCTTTTGATGATGCTTTGAAAATCCAATTAAAACCTTCTTAAAGATAAGATTCTTCTGTACATTTCCTACCATACACCGTAAGATGAAAATATCAAGTAACACTAAGCTTTAAACATTTGAATTATGGTTTCCTTTTGTTGTAGAATAATAAAGAAATATTTCTCAATAAGTAATATAATCAGAATACTATTCAGTATTTCAAAATTTTCTGATATAAAATGGGCTTTTAACAATTACTATTGTCTATCATTGAGCAAGAAAGCATGCATAATTAGAAATCTAAGATACACAATGGAATTCATAGTCTTCTATTATTTTCATTTGAACAATACAGTAAATTTTCAGTATATGCAAATCCATGCCAGCCACTGCACTAGGCGTTAAGTAGTACGAAGTTGAATTAGATACAGTCTTCATATGAAAAGGAAAAACACACACAACAATAACAATGTGATGAATACAATAGTCATGAAAGTCATAATGAACCCCCAAATGTACATTTCCCTGTTTTTAAATCAAACTAAACTGAAGCAATTGTACATAAGCGCAACATCCAACACTCCAAGTGTTTCTTCTTATCTCCATGATCTTAAGGAGTGCCTTTATTTATAATAATCCTAATGAAATCCAAATATCCCCGGCACAAATATAAAGTAGCTAATCTACAAGCTTTGGCATAAAGAAAAAAATCTAATCTTAAATAGCAAGACAAAAAGATGACTTCACACTTGTCAGGCATAAAGCCTCCCAAACTGAAGAAGTCTACTGATCATACTGCTTAAATGCCAATTTGCATGTTTACTTAAACATTTAAAAAATATGTATAATGTGTCTGGAAGAATGGTTCCATATTTCAATTCTTGATTTTGACTATTATTTTGTAAAAATTAGATAATTAATTATGGCCTAGAGTCATCAACGGAAATTTAACCAGCTAATGAAAATTTAACCACTTGATGAGGGCTGAACTGAACATTCATTCTGAATTTATTGCTTAAATTAATATAGACGTAAGATCTGAAACCCTGAATTCACGTGACATCAAACTATGACAATGAAACCACTGACTTTTCCTTGCCAAGCAAACAATGTGTTCCATAAATTATCAATTTCTATTCCAAAAGTTACCTTTACTTAGCAACTAGAATGACAATAAAACAAAACAAAATGAAACAAAAAAGGATTTTAACATTTGATATAAGATTATTACAGATTAAAGCACTCCATTTTACCACCTATGCATGACCTATCTATTTATTTCACTATATTTATTAACTATCCTAAAAATATTATAAACAATCATGTCTGCTTGTTTGCTTCTTACCTTGAAAGGCAGCGGCTCTTCAGTAAGGGGACTAACGGGAAGCGAGGCGGTGCTGCTTGCTGGGCTCATATCTGCACTCTGCAAGACAAACCAATCGAGTTAAACGGACACTGTCTGTAAGCATTTTTATTATTACTAATTTAGAATATAATCCTTATTAAAATAAATAAAAATATGGATGTAGAAAATTCAAATTATTTTACATGGTGAATTATTCCTTATTTAGAAGTACATCGTTATCTGAGAAATTAGTTAAATTATTACAGTGTACATCACAAATGCATTTTATTAAATGCAATGATCATCTTTTGTGCTAAGTAGTATTCAGTATTATATTTGCTTACTTTATATTTTTACCTTTTCTTTGAAAAACTGTATCTGTAATGATCTACTATGTTGCTATATCTATGTCTTTCAAGTTCATTTTCAAACATGGATTATTAATATCTTTTTTATTTTATGGAGAGTTAAATCATTGTACCCAGTTTTTATTCATTATAAAAAGCATGTCTGCCATTACTATACAAAACGAAGAAATATTAAATAGTTAAGATTTCCATATTCACAGACCCTGACACTTTACAACCTTCCTTATTATACTCTGCTCAAAAAAATTTTAAGCATAAAAGATTTAGACAAATATGAGCATTATTGGAAGGATACTAATGCTGCTCTTCTAATCCTTTAAAAATATAATCAATGAAAACTTCTTAACTAAGAGATTAGCCTAAAACATGTGTTAGAAGCTTGTCATTACTTTATCTAGAAGCAAGAAAAGGATACTGATAACAGGTAGCAACAGAAGTGATTTTACTATACTCTTAGCTTATTCTCCTAGAGGAATTTTCCATTCAAGTAGATAATCTAATAAAACATTGAAAATAATTCACACTCCATTTTTTAGCTTGTTTTCCAAATATCCATGCACACAAATACAAGGAATTTTGCAGTAAAGATTAAAGCAATAGAATGAGTTGATTGAGATAAAGGAGCAAGCAGACAAGTTTGGCTGACTTACGTTCCAACAAAAGAACAAACCCAAAGAACAGATGCTGCACCTGCGCAGTTCTCAGACTCTCCTGCTCAAAGGCCACTTTGGCCCAGGCGGGTGGCCCGGTGGCGCGCCGGCCCCGACACCCCAAGGCTGTGGCTCGATTCCCAGCCGGCGCACAGGCCTCGGTTGCAGTTTCCATCCCCGGTTGGGGCACAGACGGGAGGCAGCCAACGGCAGTTTCTCTCTCTCTCCAAAAATCAATAAAAACATATCCTCAGGTGAGGATTAAAAAAGAGAGATTATTTTCAATAATTTTATTCATGTGTACAATAAACTGGATACATTGGAAATGCCATCAAAGTGAGATTACTTCTGACTGATTAGTCCAGAAACAATGGTACGAACTACAGGAACCAAGACATTCAAAATCATTTTCATATAACATGCGCCAACTTTAGAAATTGATATGACAGTATAGAGTTAAAATGTCCAAAGGAGAAAATTAGGTAAAAACTGAACCATAATTTACTAAAGGAAGCAGGAAAATACATGCACCAGATAATTAAGGTGAGTTAATTATCGACTTTAATTTATAAATGTATTCAGAGCTTTTTGGTCACTTATATTATCAAAATTAGGAAATAGTCAAATTGCTGACTTTTTCTATTTTATTGCATGATGCAATGGAGAAACAAAGGTTTCCTTAGAAATAAATTTACCATAAAATTCTAACTTCAGAAATGAATAAAACCTTTTTGCAGAATTAGAAAAATATGACTCTTGAGCTGTTTCTCTCCTCATTAGGGTTCTCATGATAATTTAAGCAAGTAATAAAACACAGTTCGTATGTAGTTGAATTATACAATATTTTCCTGAAGTAATGATATTCTATATAGTATATTAAACTATGTGCCCTTAAAAATCATATATTCAGGTACAGAGATGACATTTGCTTGTGAAAATATAAAATCCTGGGTCATATTCTTGCAGATGAAGGCTTCCTAACTTCCATAAGTAGAGCAGCTCAAAAATCAAGCTTCATGGTTAACTTATTTTAGGGTTGAGGTCTCCTACAACATTCCAGAAATAAATGTGCCATCCTAAGACTGTAGAAAGCAGACTCTAAAATTTGCATCATGTAACCTGTCATTCTTAGAGAAAACTTTGTCCTAGCTTTCACTTTCAAATCCATCTTATAGTGTGACACTTTAATTCCATTGCTCTCAGGAAATCATGAAAAAATCCCTTAAGAAACAAATCAAACTTCTATGACAACACCTTATAAATTGCACTTAATTACTAAGTTGAGAATATAAATAAATAGAATTTTAAAATCTTCATTTTTAGCTGTTTCTCAATTTGCATTTCAGTGATCTGTAATTTAGTTGCCATTCTAATTTGTTTACCCTTTTAGATAAAATACTGTAGTAAACTCTTCAAATAGGTCTTATCCATACATCTTATTATACTTCAGTTCATTTACCCTCTCATTCAATGATAGTGATACCAATGCAACTGTATTTAAATACAAATGAACAAAGTATTTCATAAGTTTCATTTGATGCTTTTAAAAGCTAACAGTATGTGTCCTACAGTATCTTCATAAAATATTTTATTAGCATTATGACTTTATCTGCTGATAATATATTTCAGAGACTGTGGAAATAGTCAGTTTACAATAATGTGAAAGTCAACCCCATGTAGATACTCTTCAAGAAGTGGAACTTAACCCCCCACCCTCACCCCTAGGTTGTGTTTAGTGACTTTTTTCCCAAGAGTAGTGTATGAAAAGGGAGGAAAGGTAACTTTACAATGAGAAGCCAGGCAAACACTACCTCAACCAGATAGCAAGACATAATGTGAGGAGATGGGGAAGTCACTTCTGTGATGTTACTACAAAAAAACCAAGGACCTCAGTCTAATCATGAGAAAAACATTGGACAAACCCAAATTGAGGAACTTTTTGCAAAAATCTGACCAATGTCAAGTTCATCAAGGATATGGAAAGTCTGAGAACTATAACAGATTATGCTTCTCGGGTGACATGGTGACTAAATATAATGTGTCATTTTAAATAAAATCCTGGGATAGCAAAAGGACATTAGGGGAAACTGGTGACACAGAAATAAATTGCTGAGTTTAGTTAATAGGAATGTACCAATATTTATTCTTTATCGTGATAAATGCACTGTACTGACGTAAGATGATCGCAATAGGGGAAACTAGATGAGGGGGATATAAGAGTTCTCTGTACAATCGCTGCAACTTTTCTATTAATCTGAAACTATTTTAAAATAAAAAGTTTATTTTATTAGCAATATAACTAGATTTTTCAGGACTATAATACATGACTGTCATTTTACTGATTGCTTCTAAGCTTTCATCAGGGCTTTTATAACCTTCACAGAAATAAATTTTGACAGACCATTTTATTGGAATGCCATAACCTCTCTACCAAAGAATCTTTAATCTTCTATGAAGATCTCACTGAAAAGCCGGTGTTAAAAATTCTTGCATGCTTTTATGTTCCATGTGAGAATGTTGAAGGAAAGCTTCAGCCATATGAAATGATCTATTGGTTTGGGTACTCTTAAGGTGCTTGGTAAAATGAGTTTGCATTATTAATATTTACTGAATGCCATAATTCCATAGTAGGTACCCATTAATTACACCTCCCCTGAGAGCATAATTAATGGATATGTCCTATGGGATTAAAGTTTATTTATAAGGATTTCTTGAGGTGAAACATGATCAATTGGGCTCGAGTCTGTTGAGTACATAAACAGATTTGAGTGTAAGTAAAATATTTTACTTTTGTAAACCATTAGGGTAAATTTCATAAAGTAATTCTCTAGGTCTATTAAAATAAAATGGTTATCTAAATGTTTTAACTCTAATTTGAACATGTATTCTTGTAGTTCTAAAATTATGTTAAAAATGCACCATATGTTATACTATTAGGTGTTTCAATAATCAATGGTGTTACTACTGATAAAGTATGTAGGATAATTAGATTTCTGTATTATAAATGGGCTACTTTTTTGGAAATGTTTTTTTGATGTGTCAATTTTCTGTGAAAATCCAGTCATTTATTCTTTCAGCCATTCAGTAATTATTAAATTTACATTAGGATTCCCTGTCCTTAGATTTTAAGTTTTGCCATAATTCATTCCACTTGTTTGACGTGGTTGTCCCAAAGACTTAGTAAGAAAGTGAATGCAGAATATGTAATCATGGTACAGAAAACATTCTAGATATAGATATAGATATATGTTTATACACACACACACACACACACACACACACACACACACATATTCCATGCTTACTTGCTTATTGTTTTGGCAGTAAAGTAAAATGAGAAAGACAGTAAATTAAGTTCAATATCTAAATCAAGACTAGCTCTCTGTACTCTGACCAAGCTCAATAACTTTACCAATTTATGTCACATCTTTTATTGGTCCAGTTTTCTCCAAATGAAAATGTAAGTTTTTTTCCTCTCTTTATAATATGTTCTTGTAGTTGATATCTGCTGCTTTGCCTTTCCAGATCTAATCCATTTTACTAAGTTAACAAAATCTGAATTTTCCTTTGGGGAGTGATTTCTCCTAAACTTTCAATCCATGTGTTTTGAGCAGTGCCAGTCCAACATCCTTGAAACAGGTGTGAGCATGTAGCAAAGTTCTGGCCAATCTTTCCTATTAGACACAAAATGGAACAGGAGCCAAACCATTTAAATGAAGCTAAGATCTGGAAACTGTGTTGGAATTTTGAGAAAGAAATGTTCTCATTCAGTTAATGCTGTTAAGGTCAAAGACTGTGTTTCTACCTGATTTGCCAGAGGTACCCAAGTACATGGAACATTCATAGGAAAAAATCCAACACAGAGCCAGTCCAAAAAATGGAAAGAAAAAACTTGAGCTCTAAGTACATATTTGACATATTAACAATGGAGCTCTACATGGTCATATATTTTTTACAAAACAGTGTGGCTAAGATTTAAGCATCCTCTCCAATACAGGAATAAGCACTATGGTTGGGCAATTGCAAGTTATAGAATCTACAATTTGGAATTGGCTGACAC